AGCACGAGAAAGACTTTTACAACTACTCATTTCAAACAAATGTGGTGAGCCATATGGCTGCGACATAGTCAGGTTTGAACCTCAATATCTGCTCCAGTGAGCTGTGACAGATGTACTATGTATTTTGCCATGCAGTATATTGCTTTCATTGTGTTACATAAAAATTACCTCTTGCGAAACGAATTTTTCAAAACAGTCCCATCTCAACAGTATCCTAGGCTCGAGATGCAAGGCTTCGCACCATTCCAAAGGCATTCCACCTTGCATCGTATGGTTGCCGATTTGTGAGAGATCACACTCTGCAAAACGCAGTCCTACATGAAAATTTCATTTGAGAGTACTACTTGCCAATCATTTTCGAAATTATTCCGACTAGTTGCAATAAGAGGTAGGTAAGTAAAATGTAAAACAGTTCGTAGGAGAAAACGTTGCCGGCGTTGTTTGGAGACTTCGAAAGCAGCAGGCTAAACGTAACTCAGCCAGATACTAATCAAAGCTGTCCTAGAGCAATTTCTATTTCAAAATCAGTCCGTGTAATGATGTCGCTTATTGTGCTACAATCTGTCTTGATGTAGATATCACAGATTTAGCGATGGCCCTTGCGTCGGGTTTGCACACATGTCTTATGGACATTTTTCCACCTTCAGCAGCACCATTCGCTGCCAACGCATAAGAAAATAATACCTAGAGAACATGCGCGCAAACCTGTAGCCGCCAAAACGAGGCAGCAGCCGCGAGAGCCACTAGAGCTGTAACACTCCAAGGAAGAGATCATACAGGGTATCCTGCAAAATGTATCGGACGTGACTCTGCACCACTTTTGCGATCGTGCTCTTTAGTGAATGAAGTTCCGCCTTTCCATACTCATGATGGGAAATGATCAGAGAGCACGCTAACGAGAGGTGCAGAACTTAAAGGCAGCAGCTTGCCAAAACCGAACATCCCGAAAGTTTGACATGCAAGGTTGGTTGCGCCCCAAACACGAGAACAGTGCAGGTCCAAGCGCACAGCATGCTGCCCGTAACTAGAAAATCCCGTTACGTGCAAACCATTCTAATACGCGCGGACGAGCTGGCGATTCCCTCTGATCCGTCAGAGAAGTCATGCCGCAATGTTATAACTGCGAGGGTTCAGCAACGATTCTGCATCTCTAAACATGGCGGGACGTGCTCCACCCATCCAAATTCAAAATTGGAAGGTTAGTCTTCGGAATCAGCTCTTCGAATTACCTCAGGTAAGCAAAAAACTTCAAGTCGAGAATCTGCCGAGCCGCTGCCTTTGAGCAGCCCCACCCACCGCCGCCACCCCTAGTGAATCAAAAGGTAATAGCTGGTTCCTCAAAATGCGATTATGTTGTTTGAAAAGCTTTTAAAACATGTAAAAAGTTGAGCAGTGAAATTAGTATTCGTCAGAAAGCTGATGCACAGTTCTCCAAATTTACTGAGAGATTTTTGAAAACAGCCACTTAACAATGGCGCTTATGCTATTCCTACCGTAGACCTACAGTAATGAAGAAGTATCGGTAATTCGTTTTATATCGTAAACAATATAGTTTTTGAAGGATCTCGAAAGCCTCTAATATAATGTTACTAGAGATAAAACTTCTAATACATTTTTTTGGAACGCCCTGTATAATGCCAATTTTATCAAAGTTAGTGGAAGACAACTCTTCTCTGTTTGATTTTGGGATATGGTTTCCGTAAGAGTCATCCATATCATTTGCAGGTCACATCTTACAACGGTCGATTTGCTTGTCTTCAGAACAGCACATTCAATCGCGATTCTAATTGAGAAGGAGAGCAGAGAACGAATGATACACCGTGTCACCACAAAAGAAGATCTTGTACGCATTCATAGTTCCTGCACCTTTATCTCTATTTTGATCAGTGACTATTTTCGAGCAGATTTTCCTTTCTTGATGCCACTACTTCTTGTGTTCACCATTGAGCCAAATAAACAGCCACTGCACCATGCATATCTAGCTGAACACATTCTAGTGGTAAAATTTTTGATTTTTGTTTGGACTATTTCGACTGCTGCAACGTTCACTCCCGATAATAGAACGCTTATAGAGTGAGTTTGTGGGCCAATTTGGCACTTCAGCAAAGAAGCTTCTCATCTTTTTCCTTTTTCTAAAGAAAACAAGAAACAGGTTCTAGCTCCGCGACTTCTACGTTCATTTGCATTCTTTTGAATTGACATTAATGGTCATTGTCGCCCTTTTCCCCAAACTGCGTTTTTTATTCTTGAGGACTAACCGTTCGCCATGACGGTGTTCTAGCTTGCTTATCGCTCAGGGAACAACAGTCAGGAGCAGGTCCAAGAGTTTCATAATGTTATATAATTCATATTTTCATAGCTTCACTGACCACACTGACAGCACTGTAAGCACTTTATATTGTGACAAGAAACGCAAGAAGGTAGAAAAAGGCACGAGTGCTGAACTACTGCTGCAAAACTACTGCAATTTTGTTCACGTCAACAGCATAAATCAACACAGAAGATTTGGTAAGAAGGAAACCGAGCAAACCGAGCAGTCGGCAAAATACACATATTCAAGAAATCTTCAAACAAGGAGAGCTCATAGGCTGAAAAAAAAAACACACGAAAAGTAGTGTCAAGGTAGGCTTGATTAAGAGCATATAAGGCTAATAATTAAATAGAACATCGAAATCAGATATTGTGACTTTTCAAGCGTCGTTTGGTATGTTTTCATGGTATACTGTTGTTCTATTTTACGATCAAGCTGCAGCACTGCACACTGCGCTAATTCATGGGAAGTATCCAAACAATTTGCAAAATTAGAATTTCTCTTCAACATTCTGCGGCCACTCTGCAGTTATGCTTGGTAGCCATGAAAGTTCGCAGTCATTGGTCATGGAAATGCACTTACAAACCTCCAGTGATTGCCAAGGACTCTTATAAAACACCTCTTTACATGTCACCTTGGTTGGAGTCATATGCAAGTGCAGAGGCACGGTAGACAAAATCAGCGTTTAAAGCGAAGCTTTTGTTGAGTAATTGATACATCCAACTTTGAGAACTCCTGCTGGGACTGATAACAGTCAGAGATTTCCTCTACTCCTGCACATTCGTTGCCTTAAATGTTTACCTTTCCTTAGTCGCATCCAACTTTGGTGGTGTCGCATAAGAGTTCGTCATTCTTTGTTTCGTATACATTTGCTTCCAGTGTGCTAAACTGGAGAGTAGCGAATTCATGTTACTATCCTTACAAGGAAAACTTATTTTAAGTGGCATTTCTAAGTGAGATGTGTACCATATTAAAGGGCAGAAATGCTGATTCCAAACCTGCCTTCCTTATCTGTATAACGTTTATGGACGAGGAGTTACGAGCGTGTTTTATAGCCAAAAATTGAATGTACAGTTTGGATAAAATGAGTTGCTAAAATCTTACTTGTCTTTAAATAACGCAGCCAAGTTTGATATATCTTTTACTTTGGAGTATTTTGAGTAAAGTGTTCTGATGATTATCGCTGCTCCATTGAAGAGCAGCAAAAGTATTACGGCTATTTTTGTTCTACTTGCACATTCAACTTTTTGCTTCAATAAGGCGCTCATAACTTCTCGTCCATAGATGTTCTGCAGATAAGGGCAAATTTGAAATTAGCATTCTATGCCCTTCAGTAGGCACACATCCCATCTAGAAAGGCTACTTTGACTAAACACGCATTCCTTGTTAGACTTATTGTTAGTTCAAAAGAATCTTGTGAAACTCCTTTTCGATGTGGCGAATCATATCACAGTTTTTAGACTCTGTTCGTTCAAAACTATCTTGCAATCAAATAAGAATCCATGATGCGCACTTTGTAGACAAGGCAGATCAGATACAAAACGTGAAGACTGATATCTGCCTGAAATCGATCACTACAACATTTAGCGTTCGCAGCAGCTATTTTGCAGTTAGCTTTAATCTTCCTCTCGCCTCTCGAGCAATCCCCGAGGTCGGAAAACGCCAAAAAAGTTTTTCTTCTGACTTTTCGAGCACAGTACCTGACTCAGCTGCTCCAGAGGGACGTTAATTAGGTTGGAAAGAAAGTTCTCGGACATTGCTTTCAAACAAAGTTTTCGTTTCAATGTAAACACTAATTAGGGCATGCTGCACACCTTTGGATAGAAGAAAGCAATCTCTACAAACTATGGTAAGCGCATTCCTTATCAAGGTTCTCAGTGAAAATTCAGGCGAAAATCCTAAAGCATAGGTTTTTGCCCTAACCCAGAGCTCCAACTTCTATAAATGTTATGAAACCCTCACAAGCTTTAAATTATAGTATACACATATTTACATACTTAGATGCACAGTTCAGATCGAATTTGAGCTTAAACAAAAAGAAAAACGAGGTAATTAAAAAGTGGCAAACTCCGCCCTCATTGGTCCCAGGCTCCAGGCTCCTCCCACTTGCTTAAATTTCAGCTACAAGCAAGTGGGAATACAGCTACAATATTTTGTGTATGTGTATGCATTAGACTTTAAGATATGACAGGTTTGGTCTGAAAATGTCCGAGAACTTCCTTTTCAACCTAAGGGATCTTCAGACCGCGCACAAAGGCGCACGAAGGCGCCGGAACTGCCAAAGCGCAGGGATTTGCCGGCAAAGTGCCATAATGGAATACGCGTGAAATACAGCTCGCGTTGTGCACGTATGTTAGTCACAAGTAGCTACGTGCACAACGGCGCTGTATTTCACGCGTATTCCAATGGTACTTTACCGGCAATTCCCTGCGCTTTGGCAGTTCCGGCGCCTTCGTGCGCCTTCGTGCGCTTTTGTGCGTGGTCTGAACGATCCCTAATAGTTGTGGGAAATTCCCTACTCGCGATTTTCCCGAGCCACTGTATTAAGCGGAGAGTGTATTGCATGAACCTTATTTTAGCAGGAGGTATCAGCACAACCGGCTTCTGTTTTCTTTAGATCTAGCATTTCTTTAGCGGAAACATCCAAAAAACTTCAAGTGATTTTGAAAACGCAGCTTTTTATAACTGATCACTTTTCCCAGTATCTTTCGGGAATCTCACACAAAACGCAATATTTCTTCCAGCGTTCATCCTTCATCGTTTCGCAGGAAATGCACTGAAAATATGACATCATTGGCATCAACGAACGACCATAGACTGAGAATGAAAATATAGTGATGAACGGACCCATCTCTCAGGATCTCTGCATTTTTTTATGCCCCCAGGTTTTTCCCTTGTACATATCCAATACCATTTTCCGTTCCTGTCTTCTTCTATTGTTAACTCCCTTGGATACGACTCTGCCGTTGCTGCTGCGAACAGAATGGCGAGGATGAATTCTCTCATCCACATTGTTGTTGGGATTATCTGTAAAATACGAGTTTGAAAAGTGTACGTGCTGACGCCTTTTTTATATCGACTGTTGCCGTCAGCACGTTGATGATAGTGTCCGCAATGGTTTCAGAGGCAACAGAGATATGCGTACTTTGCGCGGCTTTCTGGTTCTTGCTGCGATTTGTTTACTTGTTTTCGGTCGATCCACTTGATCCGCGTGGTCCACACGGCTGAGAAATCCATCCATAAACACTTCGCGGCTGCGCCGTGACCGTAACACTTAGGATGGGTCCCAGCGCGAACGTAATGTTAAAGTAAGCGAAGTCGTCATCGGGTTACGGTCACGGCGCAGGGTGCGGGTTTTTGGGGGCGAATTTCTCAGCCGTGAATGAATAATCTGCGCTGCCCCTTGGGCAGTGAATTAGTTGGGACCCCTCATCAATTTCCAGGCAAAAAGGCCATGCGGCCAGATTCGCCTGGACTCTGCCTTTAAGGTGCCAATCACAAGGTGGATATTTAGGAACTCGACTCAATACATTGTATTGAAAACTATTTTTACCATTCTACGTCACTTTTACGTCATACGGCGCATTGGTTCTTGAAATCGTTGCATTGCAGCAAGATGTTCTTTTGATTTCAAGGTGAAACAAATCATGTATGCTTTCCATATAATTCTGTTTAAAAGGTCAGCAGAAACGATGAGTATCCAGTGCCGCACTTTTCACTCATTGATAAGAAGTCGGAACTTTTCCATTTGAAACACTTACAAGAACACGATGTTCCTTTGTTTTCAAAATGAGACACCATATCGCGTTTTGCCTAAGTTCGCAAGCAAGACTCTTCCATTTGTAAAGATAACGCTTTCGTAAACAGCAGCACAAATAACATCTCTGAATCAAGTTCCAGCAGAATCTGTAACCGATAACTTCTTACCGTAAATATTAGGTTGTAAAGAAAGTTCTGCCAATCTTTCTCGTAAACACCAAAAATGAATGCGAATGCAAGAGGCTGGTTTAGAATGTGCTCTTAGTGTGCGATGGATGGCCAGCTACTTAACATGCTATTCAGCTCGAATAAATGACGATCAATTAGGAAAAAAAGCCCAAAAAGGATAAAAAATCGACTGCGCTCAGGTCGGCGAAAAGGCACATTTTTCAGGTTATGGACGCGCAGAACCTCCAGAAGCTTGATCTGAAAATTCGTTTTATACCCTGTGTATTGGCTAGGTAAAGCAAGATTCGACTATTACCTGCCCCGGTTTTTGGGTCTTTTTGCATGCAAAAAATAAATCGTTGAATCCAGGGCTCAAAAAATCGAACTCTCCACATGTTTCAAAACGCGGCCAGCGCGCTTTTTGAAAAAGATCATCTATGAAATACCTAATTAGTAGTCTAAGGTTGTTAGTATACATAACCAAAACATTGCTAATCAACAGCCAATCATGATGAAGATATAAGTACAACAATTTAGCTCAACGTCTATTGGCAGAACTTTCTTTACAACCTATTCAATCCTTACATGCGATATAGTGATTTGCAGAACAACGACCAAATCTTCAGCTGAGAACGCAGCCTACATAACTCAAAAGAGGGCGTATGCAACGTAAAATAATTGAAAAACTGCCTAGAAGCTCCAAAATTTGGTTTTCTATCTAATATTGGGTTGACACGAAAGTTCTAGCGTTAGTTGACTAAACCAGTAACATTTAATAATAAGTTTGCACTCTACAAGTAATTTATTAACTATTCGTTGGCAAGCCTTGGAGAACAAGGCATATATAAGGTTGGATCGAAAATTCTGTAGCACTATTTTCAAAAATTTATAACTTCTGATTTTTTCAGCCGATTTGACTGCTTTATTTTTATGTGAAAGAGTAAGTCATGTTCTTTATAATGACATCTCAGATGCTTACTAATGTTCATCTCTTGCATAGATAGGAGCGATAGAAGAAAATTAGTCAAAATTTGAATTTTCTGTGTAGGATCCTAAAAAATCGGAAACTTGCAACAAAAATCGGATCAGTCAGTATTGCAGGTTCTTTTATCAGCTCTTTCTAACTGTGCAAAGTTTGCGCTGATTGAGCGTGTCTATGAAAAGTCATGATTTCCCTGAAAAATGCCAAAATAAAAATTCGCCCTTTTGTATTGCTTGCTCGAAAATCGTAACGTTTCATAGAGACACTCAACCGGCGCAAACATGGAACAGTTAGAAAGAGCTGATGAAATAACCTGCAATCCTGACTGATCCGATTTTTGTTGCAAGTCTCTGATTTTTTATGACCCTACACAGAAAATTGGAATTTTGACTAGTTTTCTTCTATCGCTCCTTATGCAACAGATGACCCTTAGTAGTCTAGGCAGTTTTTCAATTAATTTACGTTGCATACGCCCTCTTTTGAGTTATGTAGGCTGCGTTCTCAGCCGAAGATGCAGTCGTTGTTTTGCAAATTTTACTATATCGCATGTAAGGATTGAATACATTTACGGTAAGGGGTTATTGCAGATTCGGCTGGAAATTGATTTAGAGATGTTATTGTGCTGCTGTTCACGAAAGCGTTATCTTTACAAATAGAAGAGTCTTGCTCGCGAATTTAGGCAAGGCGCGATATAGGTCTCATTTTGAAAAAGAGGAACGTCATATTCTTTTTGAGTAGGCCATATGACCAATTTTCTAAGAGTCTTAAACGAAAAAGTTTGAACTTCTTATCAATAGGTGAAAAGTGCGGCACTGAATACTGTTCATCGTTTCTGCTGACCTCTTAAAGGCAGTGTCCCACCAGACTGGGCGTATCTGGCTCCCGTAGTCATGTAGTAGTAGACCCCTTACCTAATCGATGTTTGAAGTTCGGAGCGAAAAAGGGGGTCTACAAGCCAAAAATTTGTGCGCCATACGCACTCTGGCCTTGCAATCAATATTGCTTGCTGTGTGGGCGGCGTTCGGCCCCACCGTAAGATTCAGCCCACTTTCGGAGCAAATTTTTGGTTTGGTAGACCCCCTTTTTCGCTCCGAACTTCAGACATCGATTAGGTAGGGGGTCTACTATTACATGACTACGGGAACCAGATACCTCCGTCTGGTGGGACACTGCCTTTAAACCGAATTATACGGAAAGCATACATGATTTGTTTGACTTTAAAATCAAAAGAACATCTTGCTGCAATGCAACAATTTCAAAAACGAATGCGCCGTATGACGTAAAAGTTGAGATTATGTAAGGCAGTTAAACAGCCCTAAAGTGACCACGAATTTTTTTTTACCTTACCGAAAATGACTTCGAAAAAAAAAACATGTCAAAATGGACCAAAACGAGTCAATTTTTTTATGACACGTGGCAAGAAAGCAGTCCTTGAAGAATCTATGAAAATTTATTCTTAGGGCCGCATGCACTAACATCCCCGCGGGGAGGGGATCGCAGCTCAAAAGAAAGCTTCATATTCTGAAGCTCCAGATATCTGGATTTCACGTTGTGTCCGTATCATCCGTAAGTATTCCTACTACACTTCACTATGAACACATTGAACAGGAGCGAGAAGCTGCACAAACCGCAATTTCCAGCTTTTGTATGGTGATCCCCGGCGCTTTTCTTTAAAGTCATTTTTCTTTCTCCAGAATTAAAGAAAAACTTCCAGAGTTGTGCAGATTATCTAATCCAACACTGCTTAGCATGTTGCTGATAAGAACAAGTGATGTATCGCAGTCATGAAATTTGCGATGAACCATAAGTCGAAAGTTGGAGTTTACCGAAAATCCGATTTTTCAAAAACTCATTTGTTCTCATCAGTAATTTGCTTAGCAATATTGTGTTAAATAACCCGTAACACTTTGGAAGGTTTTCGTCAACTTCAAAAAAAGAAAAATGACTTGGAAGAAAAGCGGCGGGGATCATCAGGGATCATACAAAAGCTGGAAAACGCGGCTTGTACAGCTTCTCGCTTCTCTTCAATATGTTCATAGTGAAGGGTAGTAGGAATACTTACGGATGAGTACGTAACGTGAAATCCAGATATCTGGAGCTTCAGAATATGAAGCTTTCTTTTGAGCTGCGATCCCCTCCCCAGCGGGGAGGTTAGTGCATGCGGCCCTTAGACTGAAAACGTACTATATGAGTTTTTTGAAAAAATGGGTCCGGATAACGGAAAAGTACCAGCTTTTCTAATGCTAAATTTTCGTGCATTTTGAGTCGCAAAATCATGATATTCCTACACAAGAGCATGCAAGCTCAAGCAAACCGCTTAGAAAACATTGTAGGTTTAATATGGGTTCGTTCGAACGTTTTCGAGTGCGACCATGTTGTTTAGCTTACAACGTATTTATGGAGTAGTCGTGTTTCACGCTCCTCCCCACCCTGCACACCCTGCACATCCTGCACACCGTGAACACTCTGCACATCCTGCACTACCTGCACAACCTGCACAACCTGCACAACCTGCACCCTGCACACCCTGCACACCCTGCAGCCCCTGCACACCCGAATGTGCACAAACAGACAAACTCACAGATTTTCTGCTTTATATATATAGAGACTAGCAGGCACCCGGTCTTGACCGGTTCATGAGCCACGGAGCCAGAGGGAGGAGGGGGAGCGCATAAAATATGTGTTCTGCTTCAAAACCTACGACTTTCCATCTTATCCCGTTTCCATCTGCTGCATTCCTGCCCCCTCCTCCTCCCACCTTTCCTTCTCCGGTCCTGAGCCTATATCCATCTGCAGGATGCATTGTGATTGCAAATGCCTACCTCACATCATCTGGAAGTACCGCATCCTTCTGACCGCAAAATGAGATCGAGCTTTCTGCTGTTGTTTACACCAAAATGTGCAAGCGGTATGATTGCGGTTGATAAGGCTTCATTTTCATTGCTAGGTGCCAAAAATCAACAAAACCCAGCAAATCGTCTCAAAGAGCAGCCTAAAACCATCTACAGGGTCGTAAACATATATGTGCAAAGTTTCAGCTCAGTTGTACGCGCACGAGAGTCTATAAAAAACATACGCTTCAGAGTTGCAAACTTTGACTTTTATAGATACACCAGTTCTTCACCTCTGCTTCGCAGAGGCTCGCACTGGCTCTATGTGCCTTCCTCTTGCTCGCATGATGTTGACTCTGAAGCTCACTATGCGATGCTGACCATCACAAACGAATTGTAAACAACTAATCATTCCATGAGCTTTTCCATATAGGTGCGGCAATTTGGGAAGAGAGAATTTTCGCGTAAAAGATTAAACAAGAATTTCGGTCAGTTACTGAAGCTATTATGGTCGGATAGTTTCCGCAAAGGGCAGTTACCTCCTTCACCTAGGTTTCTGAGCAGGAACCTTCGCAAATAATTAGTGAAACCTTGACAAATTAATGACCTATGCAATTACTCCTTCTTGGCGCTGACTTTGCGTAAAAATAGATATCTTGCCCACTTTCTAGATTCAAGTCTATGGTCTGCGCATTGGTTTGTTAACCAAATCCACAACTTCGCAAAAAGTACGATTCCCGACTCACATTGGTCGGCCAAAAGTCGCGTGAACCCATTTGACGGCAGTTTCCAAGAGTTCCAATCATCGGATCAGCATATGCTTTTGCACTGTTTACCTACTGATAGGGTGCCATGAGCAAAATCTCAGCTCAAGATGTTGCCTACGACACACCCTATGAAGTTCGTGAGTGACAGACAGACATAAACACACACACACAAACAAGCAGACAGACACTCGCTTTATTATAAGTCATGATAGATGTAAAGCTTTGAACTGGTGTAATCACAATTTTAGGGAGCGTTGTAGAGACAGCTATTGCGGTTCACCTGGCACAAGTGATGAATTAACCCTTACGGTAAAATGCAGAGTTCACTTTTGGTTTTGCCGACTCCAATTAGCCTAGTGTAAGAGTTTTCAAATTCTCTGTTTGCTTTCCGAAGCAAAATAGGGCCCTAAATGGCTCAACATCCTTCTTGATTTTTCTACCATAATAATACAGTAACAAAGAGAGAGCGGTAATTTGCTCCATGTCGTGGGCCTAAGTTGAAGCCAGCTCTACAATATGGTACATGAAGGTAGGCAAAAGGCTTCTGTAAAAGGGAGATATTAGCGATCAAGCAGTGTATACTACTTTTGGCACACCCTGTATAAAGCTGAATACTTGTGTGTCTGTCTGTACAGGGTGTCCCAAAAAGATGTGCACACTGTTTGATCGTTAATAACTCTTTTGCTTTCATGTCTTTTGCCGAGCTTAAGGCACTATTCTTTAGAGCGAGTTCAACTGAGATATGCAGTGTGGAGCGAATTGATAGCCGCTCTTCATTACTGTAGGGTTACGGTGGAGAACCTCGAGGAGGGTTTAAAGCCTTTGAAAGTGGTATCTTGCCTTAGAAAGAAAGCCAAACAAGCCAGAAACTCTTGAATTGGGTTAACCGAAGTTGCTGATTCTAAGTATGAAGATTGCACTTCAGTTTACTGCTTCTTTCGTGAATTATCTCAGATCTAGAGTGACAAATGTTTTTCCAATGTTTGTCAGAAATGTGAAAACGCCATCAAGAAAGCTGCGAAAACTGGGGGAAAGCTATGTAGTGAAATCAGCACGCCTTGAAACCTTGCTACGCAAATTCTTAGATTTTTCAAAATTATCTCACCAAAAGGCCTGTTCCACAGTGACACTGTATGCTGAAAATTCAAACCGTAATCCACTGTAATGAAAAGTGATTGATGATTCACGTCATACTGTGAATCTAAGTTGAGCCTCGCTCTACAGAATGCTGCCTCAAGCTCGGCAAAAGATTTGAAAGCAAGAGAGTTATTAGCGATCAAACAGTGTGCACATCTTTCTGGGACACTCTGTATGTGTACGTATGTTTCGAATAGAGATTTATATCTCGGAACCAATTTGGTGCCAACTTGGCACACATATACTTCGGGATGGGGCTGGCGTCGTAAGTCGTAGGCTACTTCGTCGTTAATTTCACGCAGAAAGGGTTTAACGGCAGAAATTAATGCTTCGGCTTCCGATTGGGTTGATGTCGGATGCTTCAGCAGCAAGAAGTCAGATTTTTCTTTATGCTCACGTCAAAAAGCATCTGGAACTGAGAGCCCACCGCTTTCGGCTGAGAAAGTGCAGAATTTCCTACACAACCAGGTCTTCGGACAGCTCAGACAATTATGGCGAGCACCCGCCGGCCACCCACGAGCGACGCCACGCCCATCCCAAGGGCGCGCCGATAAGTGCCCGAACAACGGCAGCGGGTGGCCCGGGAAGCGCCCGATAAATGCGCAATATGCATCCGCGTCTGCCCCAATACACCCGATAAAGCAATGATTAAGATTTTTTCGGGAACCTGTTCACATTCTTTGGCCTTGAATAAAATCCTCGATTACTATACCAGAATTTCCGATGGCCCACCTGGTCCCAGGATCTGGTCCTAAAGAGCTCATCTAGGACACCATTGATAACCACGAACTTGACGCTACTTGACTCTCGCCAAACGACGCAAATGTTGAGGGTAGCCCTATCACTGTGGCGTATCTCGCGCGATAGCGCTCTCTCCTACAGCATGAATTAATTGTGGCGTACAGCAAGACCTGAGGCTCGCCGGATTGATATTGACGGGCCGTCACCTAAAGGGCTGCGGCTTGCCCGAGAACTAAATATGCAGTGCGCCAAATAAGGCCCGGGGCTTGCCCGAGTGTTTCTTTTGGGCCGCGGGTGTTCCAAAAAAACTTTGAAGGCCTGTCCCTAGCGATAACACTGAGCCGCGGGTGGCCAAGAAAATAATCCTTGGGCCGCGGATGGTCAGTCCAAAAATTTAACGCCCGCGCACCGCCGAAAGGGACCGTTAGGGGGCGCGGGTGCTCGCAATAATTGTCTGAGAGAAGGCATTTTCAAAGCAAAAAAGCAGATAATCGGTTTTTTGGAGGTTCGACAAAGCTTGATCAAAAAAGCAACTGTGTAACATTTTCAAAGGCATTATCTCACCAAAACTTGGTTGTCGCCATTTTTGCATATTGCAACCTTTTCACCCCTGTCTAACTCAATGCGGGTTTAAGACCGCATAAAATGCACGAAACCCCGTTTGTGAAAGCCCCATGGAAGAGCAGTGTGAAGAGTTGTGCTCTTCCAGCCTAGCCTTCGCCATAGTGGCGTAACACCATGGAGGTAGACGCCAAGTGGAGGAACTTGTTGAACCTGTAAGGAAACCGCGATCGTCAGTTGCCCAAATCGCGCTTTGTGTTTTACTTTGAGGGCAATTCTCAGCGTAGAAGGACCCGCATCAAGTCGGACTTGGGGCAGTCTCCTCCTCTCTGATGGAATATGTGGAGACCCGTACTACCCTAGACGATGAGACACTGCTTTTAAATGTGTACCTACCTAAGAAAATTTCGGAAGCTAGAAAGTGCTTCAAGGAGTAAAAACTCCAGATGGACCTATTTCTGATTGCCATTCACTGCTTTTTCCAAAATTTTCGATTTTTTTGAATAACTATGCAAAAACGAGATCCATTTTGATATCTTACAGGGCTGGCAAAGACACAGCCGAACCAACTTTGGAATATTTTATTGGCAACAGAGTGAGTTGTGGCATTTTTTAGATTGGACCTATAATTTCGTTCAGCATTCTGTATTGAGTAGAATACCGTGCCATTTTCTTTGAGCGTGGCCCAAGTGCAACTGCTCAGATCTGATGATATGTTGAGCAGAGAGAAATTTGGCACTGCCTTTCCGAATACATATTCAAAATTTTACATGTTCGCTAATTCCTTGGGTGCCTCAAAGAGCATGCTTTTATCTTTTTTATTTCACTAACAAAAGTCTCCTTCCTGTGATATTGCTTGACTACTTTTGCAATGAACCTTCAGGCATGATGCTCGCATGGTGTTGTAATACCAATTTTGGAATTCCGTTGGCGTTGATTCTTTTGCTTGGATGTGGAAAAAAACCCGGTGAACCGGTGAACTTTAATCCGTTTTCTTCGAAGCTTCCAGACCTTATCGTCACAACCCATGTTTGACATTCGCAGCACCATCCCTTCCCAAAGACAGCCCAGTTAGCCTTTGAAGTACTAATTCTTACAGATTCCAACTAGTGCTTGTGAAAACGACATCATCCTATTTAGTGATATACACAATGTCGAGTTTTGTCATCAGTTAAAAATTGCCTTCATTTCCAGAATTGTCATACATGGTAAGTGACACGGCTTATTTTTGCTAACGCCAAAGTAGATTAGGTCTCATCAAAGGGTTCTCGGCTCTTTCCAGCCTTAATGCATGTAGAACTGCGTTACGGCTTGCGTTTCCGAGAGCTGAAGAAATTTGAAAAAAAAACAAGTTTGTGGCTATTCTATTTGTCACACAATAACGAGATCAGTCTCAGCTTGGTACTACTGTACCAAGCTACTAGCTAGCTAGTAGCTTGTACTGTACGACTAATCACGGTTGCAAATGGAGCTAGGCTACTCTGCCGCATTTTGGGGCAAATGATGGTTCAAACTAGAAGAAACTACCACCAGTTTTTGGACAAAAAATAAAAACTGCACAGAGCTTTACGACAAGAGAGAAGCTAGACTAGAGTTTTACATTTGAAATTGAGTGCAAGCTGATTTATTTTTTGAAGCTTGTGCAAATATCCAGTGCTTATGCTTGCAACTGACAAGGGAAGAATACTAACATTCGCTTTTGGAGATGGGACACTTATAATCGGAATCAGCTTTAAACGCTGATTCCAAATATGCTGTTCCTAGCTGCTTAGCTATTCCGAAGCGAGTTATAGGCTTGCTGTTGTGAGTAAACAAACTTCTGAATGTCATAAGATGGTGTGTAGATAAGAATCTGCTCGAAAGAAGCGCTAGGATATTGGACCAGCATCAGATTAATTCCTTTGATATTGAAAGCGCGCGGTATACAATTGCAAAACCACCTATACGTTGACACCGTAGCATCAGTAGGGCGAGGAGCACCCAACCTTTGCATAGAAAAGAGACCGTAACTCGCTTTACAATAACGCTAAGCAGCTAAGAATGGCATATTTGGAATCGGCGTTCAAAGCTGATTCCAAATATATGTGTTTCATTACAAAGGCGAATCTAAGTTAGTATCCTTCCCTTGTGAGTACAATTATCTTTCTGACCGCTCACAAAGATGACAAATCGTTGACGATAATTTCATCGCTTCATGTTGCTATCAAAACAGTCAGTCGAGGAGCAAAATCATCTAGTTCAAAACGCAAATCCCATCGAGAAAAAAATAAAAACAAAACAATATCCAAGGTTTTTTGCTGCAATTTCCTCAGTAGCATTTAGCAATAAAGAGACTATGCTCCAAATCTCAACAGAAAGTGGACAAGTTGTCTGCACTTTGTAGGAGTGCTTGCCTGTTCAGTATGGGAATACGCTTGAGGAGAAATAAGATCTGCAGCTGAACTTCAAAAACAGGAAATTGTCCTCTCTGTGATGATAAATATATAGTCCCATGTGCGAGTGTTTTTAAGATAAGAAACGGATTTGTATAGTGTTTGTGTTGATGTAAAAATTCTGTCGTTCTCGTCGACATGAATAAATTTTGCTTGGTTCTTGGAAAACGAGCTTTGTTGCTGTATATGCAACATCTTCGTCATATTCAAATGCCTATTCATCTTAGGATTGGTTAATTTTATAAGCAGCTCGTCGACATGAATAAATTTTGCTTGGTTCTGGGAAAACGAGCTTTGTTGCTGTATATGCCAACATATTCATCATATTCAAACGCCTGTTAGTCTTAGATTGCTTAATTTTATAAGCAGCACTCATATGTTAACTATGGCTATGGTAAGAGCGATGATGTAAAAGTTTATGTTACAGCCAGAATTAGAGGAATTCGATGGGGCTTACAAATGTTGAGGAACGGGTCTGTGAAGGCAGTATCTCTCTAATGAGATAGTATGGGTCTGGACAGATTGATAAAGAACCTTCCAATCAGTCCCCCGCGCAACCTCGACTGATACGAGAAAACTTCATTGCTCTCAAAGTGGCCCGCGAAGGGCGATTTAGGCCGTTTGCGCCACGCTGACAAGTACCGCTTTTTTGGTCTTCTTGCTCTTCATAATGCGACTCTGGTCGGGTCATAATCAGGTCTCGTCTGAAGAATGAAGGAAAACTAAAGAGTAAGTTTGAGTAAACGCTGCTTTCAGAGTTACCACTTTAAAAATTGTAGACGTCAAACAACTCGTGTAGGATCAATTAAAAAAGATCTCGGAGTCAGCTGTTGCAGCATTGCTTCCTCTTTCTCTTGTCAAATTTTGGTAAAAGAATCTTGGGTGATAAAGAGAGATGTGCAGAAATAAGTGCCACTTTCACCTGTTTAGTTTCCCTATTTTTTCAATAACTGCAAAATTCGTAGGTGCTTTTCGGAGGAGCAAGATTATTCGGTCCGGTTCGTTAAGTTTTCAATAATTATATTCTTGGTGTGATCTTGAGTACATGAAACTTTTTCCACGATTATGTAATTTGGACTCATGAGTTTCTGTGCCAGGCAGCTGACCCTCAATATCAAACTTGTGCAAAATGGTACGAAATTTCACTTTTATGCTGTAATCTTGTAATTTAAAGCGCTATAACACCGTCAAGCGCACCAAGCTTTTGCAACGTAACACCGACTTATGTTCTGACATCATTTGCAAGTAACTATAGATTGGAAAACAGATACTTCCTTCTTCAAAACCCCGTCTTTGACATAATAACTGTTTGTTTTTATGCGCGACAATGAGCTCAACTAGACACGACCAAGCATTTCGACAGAAAACAGGAGGAAGATCTGCGACAAAAAAAACAGAATTGACCAGCTGTTTTGAGCTCGATTGTTGGAAGCATTGAAGTCCTACAATGGAATGTTTCAGCTTTGCATGTAAAAAAGAGCTAAGGTTGCAAAAATTATTTGAAAAATGTCCTGGTCTTACGCTTTGATGACTAAAATCTGGCAACACCTCTTTTGAGAGTTTTGAGTCACCCGCAAAAGCTATCCATTTTGGGCGTCGACCTCTAAATTGGAACGGTTTTGAGGAATTTGACCAAAACACAAAAGTAAACTGTTTCCATTACATACAAGAGCTATGTGTACCAAAAAATAGAAATATTTGAGTTTATTCTTGTCAAAAAACAATGCCATCAAATTTCGGTTTCAGTCCGGGTGTTTGCTTTAATGACCAACTGACAAGTCTAGAAAGGTTGTTAGGCCATTTAGAAAAAATAAAGGAATTTCGAAATGTGATAATATGTACATTTCCCGAAAAGGAGGTCTGATGGTAAAAAATGGTGAGGAAAAAATTTACGCATCAACATTGCGGCAATCCAATAATTTTTCGGGAAAAGATGGCTTTACCAGATTTTGTCTTGAATTTTTTTCTGCCATGTTTTTGAGGGCTAACAATAAATAATAATAAAAATGAGATGGGGCAAAATTTTGCACATGTGTACCTTAGGTAAAGTAGTTATTAGTCACTTTGGCTGATAATATCTTTCTCTAAAATTACTGATTACATGATATCTTTTCTTTTTGGAAAAATGGTGGCTCGAGTAAGCAACATTTCCAGTGATTATCGAGTTCCTTGATGTATCTCCTCTATCAATCCAACAAGGGCTTAACGGAAGCTTTCAAACAAGATTTGCTTTTCGACAGTGTCCACTCAGCACAATTTTTCATGGAAACGTGTGTTCAGCGGGTCACTCAACCCATGTAGTCAGTAGCGTTACACGGCATCCAGAGATTTTTATGATTTTAAAAACGAAAGCTGCATGGTCAGATCATCCACATTAAAAGCTCATTTCTGTGGCCTGTCTTCTTAAATCTTCAATATTCTATTCAAATTTCATAAATAAAGCAGACTTTCAGCTGTTCTATGAGTCTGCTCGCAGTTCTGAATGGAAAATCTTATTTCTGAACCGATCCGGACCAAACTTTGCACACGTACTCTTCAATAGGCTGGTGTGGTAGGCTACTTTTCTTAACGGATATCGACTATCAATTTCTTTGCTAATTCCAAGCTATGAGGCGGGAGATATCCCAGGATGGAAATATTGTTCAGAAATAAGTGATGGCGGTCTCTATCATAGTACACCGACAAGGCCGTCGAAGCCGGACGTATGTCAGCTGAAATAGAAATAAAGACTGATGGTTTCACAAGTATTCTATAATACGATTGGCCTTTACCTTAGTTGGAAGCATATGCAAATGCAGAGGTGCGATTGTAGACAACTAAAACTTAGCAGGATATGGTCAAACTGAGCGTTGTGCTGAAATTGTTTCCGAACTTCCAGATGAGTATGAATCCATAAAAAAGCAAACTATGTATGATTGTACCCGTTTTGATACGCTGATTTCGAATGATTATGATGAATGTGCTTCTTCACCACTGTAAATCCGCGCCATCAGGCTGCTTTTCGAATTATGGTGCGGTTCATGATTAGCGAACACTTCAAACGAATCCTTTCTTCATTTAAAACTGCAATCTTTCGAACCAAACATTTTGTAAAGTTACGCTAATAAAATTGAAATATCCGCTATACACAGTACCCAGCGCAGTTTGAAAAGGGGAGCGTTAATTTTCTCACAAGGCTCAAAATGCGTTTGGAGTCAGTGCGCTCCTATTACTTCTGTTTTTTTTTTTGCGTTAAAGCACTCTAATTAGTTTCTCACGATGCTATGAGGTGGAATGAGCTTTTTTAGATATCACGCTTGAAAAATCTGCGTGTTTACGTCGCGATTTCCAACCACGTTTCAACTTTCTCAAGCCTCAGAGATCAGCTTCTGTTTTGCGCAAAGAGTCGCGATGAAACAATCACATTGCTTGTATGCTGATGTGTCCTAGCTGAAGTGTCTGGATTTCTTGCAGATCTAGTCTTGAGGATTTGGAGCTGAAAAGTCAGTAGATGGATAAGTGCAATAGTAAACAGTCATTTGTGGAAGATGACGTCTGCGCGGCCAAAACAAACGCTCAGTGTAGAACTTTTGCGGTCATATAAAAGATCTTACAAACTTGTACATAATGTGTGCTTAGCTTAGCAGTAAATTTATATAAATTAAATCTTGAGGTTCGAAATCTTGCTTACATAAGGGTAAGGTCGGAATTTAGTTGAAAAGCGCGACGAGAACACGGGAATTTGCCAAGCGTCAAACAAAATATTCATCGAAAAAGCTTAATTTATCTCATAGCTTTGAAAGACGCTAAATGGATGCTTCAACCGCAGAAAAACAGGCATTTTTGGAGCGCACTGACTCCAGCATTCTAAGCGCGCTGGGTACAGTATATATCGGATGTTTCAAACTTTGTTACTGTAAGTTTACAAAAAAATTTGAGTCGAAAGGTTGCAGTTTTGAGTAGAAAAGAGCTTCGTTTGAAGTGTTCGTATAATGATGAGCCGCTAGAAAGTCGCAATCGGCGCGAAAACATTTCCAAAATTAACTCAACTTTCATTTTGTACCGTTTCGGCTATGCTCTGTCACAGAGTACCAAAGGTTTCTAAGCTTTTCCAAAATGTCTCGAAACCCTTAAATGATGGGTGTACTTATAATTATGAACAGCACCATATACAGGGCGTCCCAAAAGTAAGTACACACTTTTCAATCGCCAATATCTCTCTTTTCAATTGGCCTTTTTTTGTCAGTTAAGAACCATTCTGTAGAGGAGGCTTCAACTTTGATTTACAGTATCGATCGAATCACCGATCACCCTTCGTTACTGTGAGATTACGGTAAGAACTTCCAGCATGTGGAATCATTGAGAACTATGCCATGTGACAAAAAATTTTCAAAAAATCTGAAAAATTGTGTATTAGGGTTTTCGCGCACGCTGATTCCACCACATAACGTTTTACGAGTGTTTTCAGCTTTTTTGACGGTGTTATCACATTTCTGACAAAAACTGGGAATTCGGTTATTACGGTTTACCTGGAATAACTTTGGAAAGAAGCATCACAGTAAAGTGGAAATTTCATATTCGAAAACAGCGGCTTTCACAACCATAGCACAAGGGTTTTTGGCTTGTTTGGTTTGTTCCAAAACAGAATATGGCTTCCAATGGCCTAAAACCCTTGTGGAAGTTCCTACAATAATCCTACAGTAATGAAGAGCGATCGGTGATTCACTCGATACAATAAATCTAAGTTGAATCCTCTTCTACAGAATGGTGCTTGAAAGGCGGGAAAAGATGCAATGATATTAACGATTGAAAAGTGTGTACTTACTTTTGAGACATTCTGTATATTAGGTTGTCCCAAAAGTAAACTCCTTTTTTGAATAATTCACGCTGTTTTTGCTTTACTGGTAGATTGTATCATTCGATAGAGCAGATCAAGCTCTATAAAAAGTCCACCAAGGGTCCGCCTAAGTCGCATTTCATGTAAAGTTTGAAGCCAAAATCGAGAAAAATTTTGTCACCTGAAAATTGGATTTTTGCGAGAAAAAGCCCTACGGATCTCCTCTTGGTCATTATACAGCAGGCACATAGTAGTACTCAAATATACTTTCGCCGAATTTTTTTCGAGTATAGAAAGCGAGAAACAAAAATTGTCCTAAAATGGCAAGTTCCGCCCCCAGCCCCTCCCACATATGTCATTGTATGCTACAAGCCTCACTAAGTATGATTACAAAACCTTATAGCTGTAGGTGCTCTTATAATCGAGAAATACCAAGTTTTACATTAAAAAAACCAGAAAAAAGGCGTTTTAACATTTTCGGGCCATCTTTTTTCTCAATTTTGAGCCCACAAAAAAATCCGCCAAATACATTTTTGGGCACTACTATGTGTCCACTATATAAAGACCAAGTTGGAAGTCGGTAGGAATTTTCTGGAAGAAGATTCGATTTTTAGGAAAGCTGAAAAATTTGGATTTTTGGCCCTAAATTTTGCCTGGATTATGACTTAGGTAGGTTCTCAGTGGTCTTTTTGTAGAGATTGCTCTGCTCTATCGAATGGTACCATAAGTCTATCGGGAAAACAATGACAGCTCAAATTATTTGGAAATGGAGTTTACGTTTGGGACAACATAATAAGTTGGAACTCGGATAATCTCTCATATTTATGCGCTCTTGACTCCGTCCAGATAGTCGTATGGCAGATATTAAACATGTGCTGAAATCAGCGTCTCAGAACGAGTTCGACGATATACAGCTTGTTTTGGCTGGGTTAATGACCGTTTCCTACTTTAAATTATCTAGCCAGAGACTCATTCTTCTAGATCTTTGCTGAAGCAGGGTACTTTTCAGAGGTTCCTCCTCTTTCATGCACATTTCTGGCCTTGACTGCTTCCTATAGTTGCCAAGTGGGGTCAGCATGGGAGTCATTGGTCATGAGTTTACATCTTTTATGCTTTCAGTGCGCCAAACCTCTCTAACGGATAGCAGCAATTTACATCGCCGTTTTCGAATTCAGTGAAATAAATACTTCTAGGAATCAAGAAGTTCGGTGCTGCGCATTTTGTGCTGACAAGGTATATGTTGCGGAAGGCAGACGACATCTACAAAGAATTCAAGAAGAATATTTGAGTACTTCCATCCGATATTCGCCGCTAGGATTTTTTCCTTCAAAATGCTGCGAGATAGTTGCGTGCAAAATGTGCAGGAGGGAAAACTTTTGATATCTGATTCACAACCGCAGTAAAGTTGACGCTTTCATATAGGACAGCGAGTTTGGATGCTTTCTGCTCAGCAGTGAGGGGTTGGGGATCTAATTTGTCACTTGCGCGATATTAAGGAAAATCACGCAAGACGTGCTGGATACTATGTCGTGCAAAATAGCTAACGCTTCAGAATGCTAGCAGTAGTTGAGAAAGTTCTACCTTCTGCCGATCTTAGTTTAGCATGATGTAAGCAAATTCGACTTTTGCTTTCCGCGGACCAGGCAGAGCAACAGCGGAATTCCCATTCCTCATTTAAACTTCGAAAACGCATGTTTTATAAGTGAATCGAGTCGAAAGGACAGCCACTATTTCACACTCCTTGATTCTTATTCCTTGAATTTGCTGCTTTCACAGAAGTTGATTGAGCAAAATCTCTTCTTGCGTTCATCCTTTAGAGTTCCGCAGAAACTGCACTGAAATTTCGCATTAATAGCATTGATGAAGGGTTTGTTAAGGTGAGAGTAAAAAGCAAAAGTATGCTAATGAACAAACTTTTGTTCCTTGCTCCATACAAAATTCTGCTTTTCCATCCTTATCTCTAAGGCATATAGGTGCTATGAACTCTTGTGGGTGGTAGTTCATTGCAAGATTTTGGATCGTGTCGTCACTTTTGGATTTTGTCGACACTACTGCCAACAGAGCAGCAGTGATGAATCCTTTCCAAACCCACATTGCTGGATTTACCTGTAAGGCATGTATTCGAACAGTGTTAGAGCCAAAGCCTTTTTTCATTATCGATTGTTACCTTTGAGAAAAGCGTGTGAGCAAAATTTAGCTTTTGGAAGATGAGAAAATTAGAATAAACAGATTACTTTGATCTCCTCAGCAAAGTACTTTATGTAAAGTGGCCGCCAAAGAGTTACGAAAAAGTCGTCTTTTTTTCCATCGCTCACTTTCAGATGGAAAACAATGATGAAAAAATGATAGGATCGCACAAGATGATTGAGCTTCTAAAAAGCTACACCTCACACATAACGCTTCCGGGAAAACATGGATTCTAAAAAATTCAAAAACCTTTTCAGGTTTATGCTTGCAACTAAGTGCAGTTATCTTTTCCACCCCTTACAAAGATGACAAATCGTTGACGATAATTTCATCGCCTACATATTGCTATCAAAACAAGCAGTCGAGCGAAATCACCGAGTTCAAAATGCTAATCCCATCGAGAAAAAAAAAAAGAAAAACAAAACAATATCGACTGAAGGTTTTTGCTGCAATTTCCTCAGTAGCATTTAGTAAAAAGACTATGCTTCAAATCTTAAAATTAAGTGGACAAGTTGTCTGCTCTTTGTAGGAGTGCTCGCCTGCACAGTGAATATGCTTGTGGAAAAATAACATCTGCAACTGAACTTCAAAAACAGGAAATTGTAAGTTTTCTCTGTGATCTTAGAAGTATAGTCCCATGTGCGAGTGTTTATATGATAAGAAATGATTTTGTATAATGTTTTGTAGATGTGGAAATTCTGTCGTTTTTGTCGACATGAATAAATTTCGCGTGAAGGTTTCTTGGACAGTGAGATTTGTTGCTGTATATACAATTCATTACGTTCGAACACCTATTCATCGCAAATTTCATAAGCAGCTACTCATATGTTAGCTATGGGAAGAGTGAAAGTATAATAAAAATTCATGTTACTGCCAGAATTAGAGCAATTCGATGGGACTTACAAATGTTGAAGAACGGTTCTGTAAGGGCAGTGTCTCACTAAAATTGAGGTAGTAGTGTGGATCTTGACAGACTGATAAAGGACCTTCCAATTAGTCCCACGCGCAACCTCGACTGATACGAGAAAACTTTACGCTGAGATTGCCTTCATAATGCAAATCAATTCGGGTTATAATCAGACCTCGTCCGAGGAATGAAGATAAACTAGAGTGTAAGTTTGAGTAAACGCTGCTTTCAGGGTTATTATTCCAACAAGTAGACGTCAAATTTCGTATAGTACCGACTGAAAATCTCGGAGTCATTTTTCATTGCTTCCTCTTTCTCGTACCAGATTTTGTTGAAGGAATCTTGAGTGAGCAAAGAGAGACGTGCAGAAATGCAGCAGGGTCACTTTATTCATTTACTGCAAATTTCGTAGGTGTTTCTCCAGAAGAAAATTTGTTCACTCCCTTTCGATAGGTTTCCAGTAATTACATTCTTTGTGGAGCTTGACTACAAAAATTTTCTTCATGTAATTTGGACTCATGAGTTTCTGTGCAGGGCAGGCTGCGTGCCTTCACTATCAAACTTGTGCAAAATGATATGAAATTTCACTTCAAGCTTGTAATCTTGTGATTTGGAGTGCTATAACACCGTCAAACGGACCAAGCTTTTACAACGTAACGCAAACTTACCTGTTCTGATATCATCTGCAATTACTATAGATTGGAAACAGATGCTTCCTTCTCCAAAACCCCGTCTTTGACATAATAACTCTTTTCAAGTTTTGTTTTTATGCGCGGCAATAAGCTCAATTAGCCGCGACCCAGCAGTTCGAGAGAAAACAGCGAAAAAGATCTGCGAATAAAAAATTAGAAACAGAATCAACCAGCTGTTTTGAGCTCAGTTGTTAGAAGCAGTACCTCACAATGGAATGTTTCAGTTTTTCATGTAATAAACAGCTAAGTCTTGCAAAAATTATTTGAAAAAAATGTCTTACTCTTACGCTTTGCTGAAGGAAGATTTGGCAACACCTCATTAGGGATTTTTGGGCCACCCGCAAAAGCAATCCATGTCGGGCATTGACCTTTAACTAAAACTGGTTTCAAGGAACTTGACCAACTTGCAAAAGTATACTATTTATGTCAAATACAAGAGCTATGTGTACCAAAGCATCAATCTGTTTGAGTTCATCCTCGCCAAAAATTAATAGAATTTCGGTCTCTAACGCGGATGTTTGCTTCAATGTTTTCAACTAATAGTTGAGGAACCTTGTTTAGATGATTGTTAGAAAAAGTATGAAAGAAACTTCGGAATGATACTCAAATGTCTCGAGAAGAAAGTTTGGTGGTAAAAATGTTGCGAAAAAGGCTTGAAGGCATAAGCACAGAAAAACTACAATTGCGAACTTTCCATCCCTTCTTAGCGTTCTGGATGCGCTGAGCCTAGGGCTGTGCTTGAAAAGTCAAAAAATAAATGCTTCCCATGGTATTTCCGGTCTTGGAGATTGCTGGAGGGTGGGCGAGTGTTCGCCAACTGAGTCGCGATTGGCCTCCTGTTCGATCAGCCAACTGCCGCCAAAATGGGTGGAGTTACTGTGTCCTGCAGCCAGTGGCTCTTTTTGGGGCAAATCGCTCGCAGGGCCCGCTCAACAATCTTCAAGGCCTGAAAACGCAGAGAAACACTTTTAGGGCTTTTCAAGCATAGCCCGTACTCGGCGCTTCCAGGAGACCATGTAGGTGTGGAAAGCGCAGTCTCAATTTTTCAACCACTGCCTTCAAGAAGCACTGCAGCAATCTAATAATTTCGCGGAAAAAGATTGGCTTTAGATTTATGTTTTGAATTATTTGCCATGTTTTTGAGGGCTAGCTTTGCATTTGTATAGCTTGGAGTAGAGTTTATGTTATTGGTTAATGTTTTGCTGATAGTACGTCTTTCTTTAGAATTACTAATTATTTGATTTCTTTTCCTGCAAATTTGGCAAATGGGGTCAAATAGGCAAATGTCAGTGAAATATCCAGTTCCTTGATGTACCTCCTCCATCGATCCAACAGGCACTCAGCAGAAGCCGTCAAGCAAGGTTTGCTTTCAACAGTATCCACTCAGCAAATCAGTATTTTATTCGGGGATGCGTGTTCAACTCCCAAACCATGCAGTCCCCATTACTGAGTTCAGAAATTTTCATGATGTTGAAAACAATAACTGCGTGATCAGGATCGTTCACTTTCCAAGGCCTTCTATAGGCAGTCTCCTCAATTCTTCAAAATTCTATTCTTACTTTGTACATAAAGCTAAAAATCTGTGTGTATGTCAGCCCTGTGTGTTTGTCCGTATTTTCTGGATGGAAAATCTCAATTCTAAACCGATCCGGACCAAACTTTGCGAACGTACTCTTCGGGAATAGGCTGGTATCGTAAGCTACTTTTCTTAACGGAATATCGACTTTATCGATTCCTTTGCTAACTTCAAGCTAGAGGCGAGAGCGTCCCAGGATGGTGAGTTTGTTGATTACCATTACATGTGGGGCAGGAAACTGGCATATAGAATGCGACGAGGACAATAAGAAATGGCAACCTCTATCATGATGTATCGAAAGGCCGGCGAAGTTGCATATGTCAGCTAGTATGATAATGAAGCATGAATGATTGCAGTCAAGTAGCTACTAAAAACCCTCAATCAACCTTCAAGCACGAGAAAGACTTTTACAACTACTCATTTCAAACAAATGTGGTGAGCCATATGGCTGCGACATAGTCAGGTTTGAACCTCAATATCTGCTCCAGTGAGCTGTGACAGATGTACTATGTATTTTGCCATGCAGTATATTGCTTTCATTGTGTTACATAAAAATTACCTCTTGCGAAACGAATTTTTCAAAACAGTCCCATCTCAACAGTATCCTAGGCTCGAGATGCAAGGCTTCGCACCATTCCAAAGGCATTCCACCTTGCATCGTATGGTTGCCGATTTGTGAGAGATCACACTCTGCAAAACGCAGTCCTACATGAAAATTTCATTTGAGAGTACTACTTGCCAATCATTTTCGAAATTATTCCGACTAGTTGCAATAAGAGGTAGGTAAGTAAAATGTAAAACAGTTCGTAGGAGAAAACGTTGCCGGCGTTGTTTGGAGACTTCGAAAGCAGCAGGCTAAACGTAACTCAGCCAGATACTAATCAAAGCTGTCCTAGAGCAATTTCTATTTCAAAATCAGTCCGTGT